AGATGATATACGATGGAATGAATGTAAAACTAAAGTTCTCCCATGTAAACTATCATATAATTCACAATAAAACATTAAAAAAAAAAGAGACTGGTGGGAACAATAATTGCTACCCCAAGATAAAGATTATGGTGGGCAGTTAGATTGGTCAAGAAAAACTATTGTTTGTGTATAATTTTTATGTTTTAAAATTAGATACTGTATACTTTAATAATTTTAAATTCTGAATAGAGCTGATGTCTGTAAAGTCTAAGAAACTTGACCTTCATGTTAGAGACAGAAAAGCATCAATGCAGGTTTTAATGAAGGGTGGTGATAAAATTTTTAAAAGCATGGTACTTTAGAAATATACTACTATGCTTTATGCCATTAATTTATTGAAAGTTATTTTTGGACAGCTTTAAAAGTATTTTTCTTTTATCCCTTATTGTAATACACTTAGCAATGAAATCCTTTAGATTTAGATACTCAATTATTTAGATTGATTAAACAAGCATTTGTTAAGTACTACATTTGAAGGTCCGATTACTGGTGTGGTGCTGTGGGTTAATGCGCCAGACTGCCAAGCCATTTGAACTGCAAGGGAAGTGGTTCAAGCTCATCAGGTGCTCCTTAGAAACCCTATACAGGGTTGCTATGGGTCGGAATTGACTCAATGGCACTTCACAACAATAACAACAACAAACATTTGAAGGTCTGTTGCACTTGAGAAAAGGCTAAAGAAAAGACTGAATATTTAGGACATTTCTTTTTGATCCTGAAAGGTGCATTCTCTTTTCTTTGAATGGGCTGGGTGGGACCTGGGATAAGTTCAAGTGAATATCTGGGATACCAGCTTGCAGATATGATGACATTGCTTTGTCCAAAATGAATCGACAGAATCATTTAGAAATTCATATGGAATTGCAGGTATAAAAACAACTTCCAAAACCAAAACATAATTGTCAGTCAATCTGTACTTCTGTTTCTTTATTTTTATGTAATTAAATTCAGGACCATATAATAAAAGATTATAATCCTACTATTAATTAAAATTTTAAGTGAAAATGGTTACTTTCTTCTTATTGTTGTTAAGTGCTGTAAATCAGTTTCAACTCATAGGGACAATGTACAGGGTTTCTAAGGAGCGTCTGGTGAGTTTGAACTGCTGACCATGTGGTTCAAACTGGCCTTGTGGTCCAGTAATTATCCTACAGTGACATGACAGGAGTATTAATTAAAATTTTAAGTGAAAATTATTACTTTCTTGTATATATATAGCTAATCATTCCAGATGCATTTTGGCTACTTCTATTACTATTTGCTTGTATTACCCAAGCAGATGTTTTGAATTGTGATCCAAAGAAATGCAGCATCGGGTAATAATTAATGTAAAAGAAGTCTCAAAAGTTATATTTCAATCATGGACAATAAAATTATTTTATAAGTTTTTAAAGAACTTTGAGAATTTAAATTTGAAATTAAATGGTGATGCCTTTCCTCTATTATCTGTTTTCTCAGAATCTGAATAATCATTGTCTTGTTTAATTTACATTGTTTCATCCCTCATCCTGTAAGTGTTTAAAAAAGTATTTATTTTTCTCTTGTTTTGCTTTTGAAAATGACAACTTGTAAAATCTAAAAAAAAAAACAAAAACGGAAATGTTTACTTTTATGTATATATAAATCATAGGGAGGTTATTTCAGAGAAATAGTCAGCTACCACATTAAATATCTTATTCTTTGATATTGTTTTCTTGAACAATAACAAGTGAAATCAACTGATCTTTGACAAAGAAGCAAAGACAATTCAATGGGAAAATGAAAGGTTTTTCAGTTAATGGTACCGGAACAACTGAACATCCACATCCAAAAAAACAGAATCTCCAAATAGGTCACAGATTTAAATGTAACACATGAGACTTTCAATTTCTAGAGCATGGCATAGGAGGAGATCTAGCAGACCTTGGGTTTGGCAATGATATTTTAGATACCATACCAAAAGCATTGGGGGCATGGCAGCTCCACACGATAAGCACTGGACGTTGGACCACCAACCACTCCCTGGGAGAAAGATGAGGCTTTCTGTTCCTGCAAAGATTTAACAGCCCAAAAACCCTATACATGGTCGTTATGAGTCCACAGGCTCAATGACATTAACAATAACACAAACAAAAGCACAGTCCTTGAAAGAAAAAAATTGATTAGAGGGACTCCCTTAAAATGAAAAGTTTCTGTTTTGCAAAAGACACAGCTGATTTTTTTTTTTTTTTCTTGTTTACTTACTCTTCTCTCTCAAATTTTAATTTTTAAATTCTTACCTTCACTCCTGTTGCTTTTCCAAACTTAAGTCTTAAGCATTTAGTCAATATAACCTCTTAGAATATATGGGTATTTACATTTGCTACAAAATAATCTCTGAATGTAGTAGAGCAGTCAAGGACAAAGGTATAAAAACTTCTTAGATATAAACTACTTCAGGGACTGAGTCAGTAGGCCTGGGAGCTCAGGACGATGGTCTCAGGTGCAACAAAGTCTATCAGTATAACATAGTCCTCTGAGACAATGGTCCACATCTTTCTTTGATGAGTAGTGTCTGGCATAATCAAAGCTCCTGAATGTCATCTAAGGTACAACTATTGGCGTCTCCTTTTTTGGACGAAAGAAATATGATAAAAATCAAAGACACAAGAAAACAATTAATCCGCTGGCCTAATGGACCATTTGAACATTAGTCTCTACAACCCTGAGGAACTAGATGATGCCTGGCTAACACTACCAACTGCTCTGAAAGGGATACCATTAGAAGACCCTGGGTAGAGTGAGAGAAAAAAGAACATGGAACAAAACTCAAAATCATTTTTTTTAAAAAAAAAAACCAGGCTTACTGGTGGCACCTCCATCACAATGGACTTGTTTACCCTTCAAGTAACTGAACTCACTGCAATGGCTCAATATTCTGCCCAACAGTAGGTAGGTCAACTGGTGATGGTTATGTGCCATGGAGTTGGTTCCGACTCATAGCGACTCTGCATAGGATTTCTGAGGCTGTAAATCTTTGTTGTTGTTAAGTGCCGTTGAGTCGGTTCTGACCCACAGCGACCCTGAACAGGGTTTCTGAGGCTGTAAATCTTTGCGGGAGCTGAAAGCCTCATCTTTCTCCTGTGGAACAGCTGGTAGTTTGGAACTGCTGGCCTTGCGGTTTGCAGCCCGATTCGTAACCACTATGCTACCAGAGAGAGCTCCTTAAATAGGTCTATAAAGGGGAACAATAAAACTAGTGAGGCATGCACACCTTATAATAATCAACTATTTTAAATTAAAAGGTAACATTTACCATAGGACAAAATTCAGAATGGTTAGGAAAGAGACAGGGATGGAAACAGGAAACACGGGAAATGTGGGATAAGTGACATTACACTGAGGAGAAACAAAATGCATATAAAGGAATGAACATCAAAGTAACTTCTGCTGAATTGTGCTAATTTATCACATGCTTACCTGAAAAGGCAGAGTAGATTCCCCAGTCTTTAGAGAGAGATCGATTCTGGCTTGGATCCAGTGAGATTCAGTGGAACCAACTAGATCACCTTGCTTTTCCAACATTCCATCCAGTGATGTTCTTGTAAAAACTGAGAGACGTGAATGTTGAGATAAATGATACCAAAATTGCACCTGTTGAAAAACATATTTGAATAACACAAATATTTCATTGACCAGACTCCAGCAGTTTTTCAATAATCTAAAATATACCCATCTAAAATCCGTTGCCATAAAGTCAATTGTATCTCATAGCAACATCACAGAACAGACTAGAACTGCCCCATCGGGTTTTTGTAGGTGTAAATCTTTACAGAAGCACACTGCCTCATCTGTTACCAGGTGGAGTGGTTGGTGAGTTCCAATCACTAAGTCATTTAGCAGCTCAACTCTCTTCACCCACTATGCCCCTCAGGGCTCCCTTATATCCAACTACTTTGGTACTAATTATAGTCCTCTCAGTTCTTCTTCCTTCCAAACATACAACCCTAGAAGACAGTATATATTTTTTGCCAGTTGTTATATTCTTCCCTAAAGAAAAGGCTCAGGGTCACAACACAAACAAGTAATTCTAAAACATGCCGTAACAATGAAAACCAAA